TAATATATATATATATATATATATATATATATATATATATTACAGATACAAAATAACGCCCTAAAAAACTGATTGAATCGATTATTTGAAATGGGAGAACAAAAATCATAGTGAAATAAAAGCAAAGTTACAGGAACGTACCTCGTTTCTTGTAACGCGATCCCAATCGATCAACATAAACTCGAGGCTGACATTGTTAAGACCATCAGCACCATTCGGAATATCGAATACGAAAGACTCGTTGAATACCGGACTAAGGGTACGTTTCTTCACGCGTGTCTTCCTCTTTGCGATACGCTGAGAGTTATACAGAAGATAGATCTTGACATATGGATCCGCTAACCCAGTCACGTCCATCTTGGGCAAATTTTGCGCCTTCAGCACAACTACCGTCAATCGGCTGTTGATTGGTTGCCAACAAAGGGAGACGAGCAGTTCTCCCCTGCCTTGTGATTGAATCTGAAATTACAGGTATGATTCTTAAATTATTATTATCAAATTTATTTGATATAAGCTTACACATATTGCGCTTATATACCACAATTAAGTCTAAAATATATAGTTTCATTTAAAAGTTATATTTATTTTTATTTTTTAATAGATATTAATAAATATTGAAATTAATGTTTAATTAAAAATATTAATGGTTACCTAATTTTTTCAAACAAATATAATAAATATGTTTGTAAAAACTTTTGATTCGGTATATCTTAAACACGCAATAACTTTAAAAAATAATTTTTCTTATAGTTTATGATTTGTTTCTTACCTTTAGACTTCTAGGGCATATTTTTCGGCACAATGATATCGCTTGATTATCGGCCTCCTCCAAACCGGGCACCGACGAAAGTGCACATGTCAATTCACCGATAATATCATCTCGAGAATATCTATCGAAGCTAAGCACTATAAAGTGTAGACTGATTTTCTGCGAACGGTAATAAAAAGATATACGATATATCGGACTATTGATATTTTAATTTATCAATGTCCTAAATTTAAATTATTTTTATCTTTATTTGTTTTAAAATTAATTTAACTTATCTACTCGATAACTTATTATTAAATTATAACGTTAAAATTATATGATATATATAACATTTCTTCTTCGGATTATTATTTTTGTTAACAGCCTTACTGTTCTATACACTGATATCATAAATTACCTCGTATAAAATATTTGAATATTTTATGTTCGCAGGTGATAAAAAATATATGAGGAATATAAATTTTAAAATTCAAGATATTCTTATTGAAATTTATTCGAATATTAATTAGGTAACGAGTTACCTGAAGCTGATCCTTCGATATCCCAAAGAATGTGAAATCCTCGTCGTAGACAGGATCTCTGGTGTTTCTGAGCACTCTGGTTTTCGCCTGATGCTGCTTATCGGGCAACAGTTTCAATTTCACGTAAGGATCGCTAGTGGCATTTTGTTCTCTCGCAGGTAACCCTTTGCAATTCACCACCGTCACCCCGAGCGCATTTTGTTCGCTCACGTATCGCAGTTTGAACATCAGCTGGCCGAGGTTGTCTTTGTTATTCTCTGTCCCGTGATTTTTCTCGCGTTCCGTTTTCTCATTGTTCTCGATCTCAGCCTTATCCCGTTGTTCATTCTCGATACTCAATGTGACCTCGCCAGAAGGTGTCTGGGCAGGTGTACCTGTGATTGATCCAAACGACAGAAACTTTTACGCTAGAAAGTTTCTTACAATTTCAATACATTGCTCCGTTAAAATTGTCAATACTAATTTAAACAAAAAATTTCTCTAATTTCGTTACCTTTTAAGTAATCAAATATTTCTATAAAAAATTTATCAATCGTTAAAATTGAAAGAAAAACGTTCTTATCTTTCTATCTGTTACATCAATGACACATTATAGAATTGGTAAAACGTTCTATATGTGTGTTCAAATTAGATATTACGCGATGACGACAAAAATTACCTATACCCTGTGGTGTTCTAGGTTGTGAACCAGGATTGGACGATTGAGACCCGGTTGGGCTGGGTGTTTGCCCACCGGAACCTGGAGGACTTTTCGCTGGTCCCGTTGGGCTTGGACTCTTCTTCAAGTAGTGGCTGGTGCTGCCAGGACTTTTAACCGCCGTCGGTTTCCTGTGGGGCGGCCTGAACGCCAGGGACTTGTCGGAATTCAGTTTGGTGTGCTCGCGACGTCGTCGGCAAAGCCACCAGGTCATCGCGACGGCGCAAAGTAGGAAAACGGCGCCTATACATAGTGCGACTATGGTCGTCGTCGACACTGGAATTACGCGTTACTTTCATTAAATTCTTTTGCTCTGTTTTAAAAATTTAGTTTATTATTGTTCTTGCGAGGATTCATACGATTTCCACTTTCTGGAAAAGGTTTTACTTGTAGAGAGTGAAAATTTGTCAATAGAAGATTAACTTCCTAGAAAATTAAACGATTAGCTTCGATAGAGTTGATTTATTTGGCTTCTCATATGTGATTCACGTGTATTTTGCATGAAACAAGAAGTTGACTTGAAAGAGATATTATTGAATGTTGTACATGAATATTTCAAAATTATAATATGATATATATTATATATTAATATCAAATATCGTTTGATAGTTTTGGTTTAATATTAGTTGCAAGAATATGTAATCAGTTTATTTTTTAAAATTTTATGTTTCACCTTTGAATCTTTTCTTATTATTAACATCTTAAGAGAGAATTCTTTCTCTCTTTTAATTTAATATTACATTTCTTCCATTACAATTTATCATTTTCTTCAAATGATTAATTAATTAGCATTAACTTAAACAGTGAAGCATTTAAAGATAAAGATGTATATATTGATTAAAAGAATTTTGAACTTTATATGAGAGTTAGTTGATCAATGCTGACTAATGCCAAGTTCCGGCAATGATGAATCATCTCGGCAATGTGCGCGTTTTACCTTTATAAACTTCATAAATGTTATCGAGTACTTATAAAACAATAAAAGGCCAATAATTGTCCGGAATACAATTTATGTTTTCATCTATCTCAATAATCGTTTCTTCGAGATGAAATATATTGGAAAACATTCAAACTTAATATCACAATATTCATGATGCCATAAATTTATATTCTATCACAAATAGATTGTAATCGAGTTTTGCTTCAACGAATTATCCAAATTGTCGATCGTGAAACATGTCAGAAGAGCGTCAATAGTCGAATATCAATATAATATCATTCATATCTTAAATATAAATCAAATACAAGAATAAACGTACAAGTCCATTTAGAAGGGAAAACGATTAATTCTATTTTTATAAATTCTAATTTCAGAAATTTTAATTCAGAATATACTATTGAATTATTGAGAAGCCAAAAACTAATTGATTCTACAAATTTCTAAATGTTAATACCCTAGATGTTAATTATTTAAGAACAGATTAAGTTCACTTTTTCTAATTTTTATCAAAGTCTAGTTCAAAAATTAGATCAATACTAATTTTTAAACTTAAGTGACAAAGTATATGATTAGCCCTCAAACGTTTAGAAATGAAATGATTACACATGATCAAATGTTCAATTTTTCCATAAAACGAAGCGACATTATTCGATGGAGTTGATCCACTTGGCTTCTATATGCCTCATATATCACATGGTCTGGCGTCTCGTTATAAAGCCAACCATCCTCCACTATATACATACATCATCGCATCTAACTCGTTTCCCAAATCATTCTTTAAGATTCATCGAGAATCCGACGAATCCGAAATGAGCTGAATCAGAAAAAAGGAGAGAGAGAGAGAGAGAGAGAGAGAGAGAGAGAGAAAGAAATGGAACGAATTGAAAAAACGATCCCAATCGATGGAAACACCCAGTCAAACGAAATAACACAGGTATCACGATGTAACAGCTGTCCGCAATCATGATCGTATTCCTTCCAACGATAGATGGTTTCATCCGGGAGCAGCTAAACGACACCCTCGATTACGACATTAATTACAATTATGGATGGAAATCAAGAGTGCGATCGTGGAATGAAAGCTAGAAATCGTGGACGGATTGGATCGATGTCAAATGGATCATCACGAGGTGATGAGGGTACGGGCGAAAGGCTCGAATCGAGCGTGAATTTTCACGGTGGACACCTTCGAAACTCACCGAAATCGACGGGTCGAATCACAGGTCCGTCTTCCGTCACTCCTCCGACCATGTTCGGCCACGTTTATACCCCCGTCTATTTGGATACGCTTTTATCCGCGTAAGTCACTCGGCCACGACGCACTGAACGAATATTTACGGTGTGCGGACCGTTCGTGGTATTCTGAGGCGACCATCGGACGAAATGTTTCGATCAATAATAACGGCCGGAGCTTGCGCGGAATACCGGGGGAGGGGGGCCGATGGGTATGGAACAGACGACAACCGCGACACCAAGACGGCGACGCCGGGGATAATGCCGTTTCGGTGGTTGCTAGACGAAAGAGAAGGTTTACCTTCGTGCGGATAACGCGAAGGTTTTTCGCGCAGGTGACGATGCACTTCGACGAGAAAGAGGCGAAACCGGCGGTCGAATCGATGGGATATCGATCAGGCTGAGCAGGCTGCGTTTTTAGAAACAGCCTTTTTGCCTGTTCTAAGGGGAGAGGCAATTGTTTATGATCGGTTCTTCTTATCCACGGAGGATGGATAGGAGAGGATGAATTTGAGAAAGTGGAGGTATTTTGGGGAAGGGAGAGGGAGAAAGGGAGGGGGGAGAGGATTAAAGGATTTTTGAATTCTGCCTATTCGGTCTTATAATCCTAGGATTTTCGAGTCTGGGAGAGTTTAAAGTGACACGGTGAGCGGGATATGGTTGGAAAAAGGTTGGGACGTAGTCGCGATTATAATGCGACTATATATGTACTATGTATGATGTTGTATATATGTATGATTTTGATTTAATTTTGATTTTTTTTATTTTTTCTATCGATGTTAATTATAGTAAAATTTTAATGAAAAATGAATTGTGAATGAAAAATGTATTTCGTAGAGTATGTATTCTGTTTTATTATGTTGTTGACGTATTTCATTTAGGAATTTGTTTTTCTTTTTTTTTACCGATGTAACGGTAAACTAATGATTTTTAAAGAAATAATAAAGGGATTCTATCTATATTTATATATTTGGGCGTGGGCTACGGTACAATGGATCCTTCTGCACGAAATATTGATATATTTATTAGGATTTGCAAATCTTATTGATTTTCAATATTGTTTTAAGACATTGATAGAAATATAGTATAGTTATCAAATAAATTTTGATTAAAAAGTTTTGTATAATAATATTTATATAATTTAAAAAAATATATAATATTCAGAAAAGATTGTGTTATTTAAAATCCGTTGCAATGTTTTAAATTTATTATCTACGTTATTTACGTTATTAGCATGCTTATATTAGTTATATTTATTAAATTTAATTTATAATCACCCCTTTTACTTAGAATGAGATGAATAAGGGCGAAGAGAAAGGTGAGACTAAAAATTGCAACTTTAATCCACTTCGCTCGAGTTCTGTTTTGAATTATCGATCTACATTACATCTAGCACGCAGAAGATAATTCTTCTATGAGTCATCTATTACCTCGAACCTTCTAATTAAATGAATAAATCAACGATGACACAAATATTCACATTTTCCTATTATTTATTATTTTTATATATTTATAATATATCATTAATTATTATATTATATATAAATATATAATATATATTTTTATACTTATTATTATATTAAAAAATATATTTATTGTTTCCATTAATTAATTTGTGATTTACTTAATTTTTGAGTCGAAAAATATTATATCTTTTCAATATGTATCAATCCAATCTATAATTAACACATATTTCTATTTATAACTATAGAAAAATTAGAAATATTAAATCTAAACATTTCTCTCTTTGTTGTGTATTATATTGTTGTATATAATATTTATTGATTATTAATTTAATTATTATTATTATTATAATTTTATTAATAATTTTATAATTAATTAAATTTATTCAAATAGATTTGGTTCGAAATATTGGTCAAAAATCATATTGCGTAAGTGTAAAATATATTTGAGAATTGAACTCTAAATTTCTTGTTCACCTGGACAAGTTTATATTTTCTGTTCCCGAAAACATAGCTGATGATGCTCGACGTGAAAATAAATTTTCGTAAAATATCATGTACGTAAACTGCGACATAACGTGTGCACATTGAATGCATTTTTTAAATGAATTGGTTCACACGAGTGATAAATAGCTGCTATTATTTTCGAGCTTTTATCGAAATTATTATTAAATCTTTAACTAACAAATTTTCGCAAATTTTGTTAAAAAATATATGAAAACATTTTTAATCTGAATATCTCTTCATCACTTTTATCAATTAATTTTGAAGAATTATTTACAATGATTTTATATTTATTAATTGGTATCAATTAATATTATATATGTTTTCAAAAGATTAAGTAAAAATTAAGTTCAAAAGAATTATTGTGTAATCGAATTTTAATCAATTTATTAACAGATAAATGGCAATGACTGTTCGTTTAGTTATCTCCGTAAAACAGAATAATCTGACCTTACTTTTGAGAATAAGAGTTATGTCTAACTTCGGAATTACGATTAGCTGTCTTCGTCAGTTGCATCATTGCTATCTTATCCGTTATTTGTCTGTGACGTCATTGAACATGGCGCACGCGCATTACGAAAATACACTACAATACGTAAAAATACCAGGTTTACCTGGGTGCATGTTTACCTGTGCTTAACCAATAGGGTCACAGAACGCTATTATGTCACTGAGGATAGGAAACATCAAAATTAATGGACAAAATTATTTTAATTATTACATAATTTGAATTTTTTAGATAACTTTTATATAAGTATTGATAATATCCTTACAAAATCGTTATATTCTTATATCGTCGTTAAATATAGGATGTTTTAAGAAATGGAAAATGTGAATTTTAAAAATATTATTTGAATGATTTTCATATGTATATAAATTTAATTATATATTATATATAAACATTATTACAGTTTATAGGAAATAAATTTATATTAATAATAATAATAAAAAGAAAAATAATAAATAATAAATCAAAAGTACATTATAGGATTTTATTATAAATAATAGATAAATAAAAATTTATAAAAACAATCTAGAAATATTTTTTTTTATATTATATATTTTTATAAAATTTCATTTTCACTTTATATATATACATAAATAATTTATAATTCTATAGTAATAAATATTTTAAATTCCACATTATCTTTCAATTCTATTTACACCACAATTTTCTTAGATTTTTCTTCATATCTTTCTTTACAGAAAAGTACAAACAGTTACTACGACGCATATTTGAAACGACTTATAGAGCCGTTCCACTGCGTCAGTTGGTATCTGCGCAGAAGACAAATATCAAAGTAGCCTATAGTAACGTGGACTCGTAAGCGATCAGACCGGCTTTTACGAGCGGCTCGATATAGCTACGTTGTGTGTAAGTATTTCGGTGTATGGAACAAAAACGAAAGAACGAACGAACGAACGAACAAACCTGTGCTAAAGTGGCCACATGTCCATTTCAAAACGTTATTAAAATAAAATAAATAAAGAAATAAGATTTGCGCACGTATTGAGTGTCGTCGAAAGTGTGCTGTGTCACAACAAACATGGGACTGAAGGATTTTCGAATAATATACGATAATCATTGGAACACTTATTATCCAGGACAAACAGTAAGCGGAAATATCATTGTCGTACTAGACAGCACAAAGAAGATTCGTGGTATGTTATATTCGAAATTACATCTTTATCGAATGAATCATATTATGTTATTTTAGGGTGAATAATATTTAATGTATATTAAATATCGTTTTGCGATGTCGAAAGATCGAACAGGTGTTTTTAAATGTATGCGATTTTCAATGAGTTTTTTAGTGATAATGTTTTATGAAAATGTAACTATATGTAGTGAAAATGATGGAGAGATTATGCGATATTACATATAAATATGTAAATATAATATATTTAGTAGATTTAAATATATGTGTATATATTATATTAAAAATTAATAAAAATTTTGTAAATAATTTAAATGTAATATATTAGAAAAATGAATATTTTTGTTTTTGCAAAATTATTGGTAAAAGAAATAAGATGAACATGAAGATTTTGATATATTTGAAAAAATAAAATTTAAATAATAAAGAAATTAATATATAAAATAATTTATACTTTTTCGAGTAATTTAGTTAATCGATATCATTATTTTTTATTTTTAAAAGTATCAAGAAGATTAAAATCAATATTAGAAATTTATTATCTGAATATTAAAAAATATTTTTTGTATTAATATATATAACATAAGTTTTATTCTAAATTTTACTCCAATTTGTAAATTGTATTTTACACATATTGTCGAGTTCTTGTCACCGCATTCCTGTAGATTTTTTTCTTTTTTGTCGCAAGGTGTAGTTTAATTATAGCACTATACACCCGCACAGTAGAAATGGACAGTGACGATCAGCCGTGAAACATTTGTTTTGTCATATTGTACAACCATTGCATTATTGTTTTTATATATTTTTATTATTATTTAATTAATGTATTGTTGTTGTTATTATTATTAATAGTAACTATTATTTAATATTTTTTTATATAGTATTCTTTTTTAATATTCTTATAGTTTTATTTTTTATTATATATTGTTGTTTATTTTTTATTTTATTTTATTTTATTAATTTATTATTTTATTAATTTCGTTTTTTAATCGAGACTTTGTGAATTGTTAACTTAATAATGGGAAACTTTATAGAATTATCACAAATGTAATAACTTTTCCTTTAGTTTCACCTTTTGTAAATATCTTTTATAAATTACATTTCATGGTTTTTTATTTTTACCGGATCGCTCACATTTCTGTTTTAAGCGATGCTATTTATATTTTAAATTTATAGATTTCTATAGCGTCAGTTATACAAAAATATTCTATAAAACTCTTTTATAAAATTTTTCCGTGGTATTCTTGACATTTATTTGACGTTGATATACTGTTCTATTAGCATCGACTTGCTTTAGCTCGCGTTTAATTTTATACCATTATCTCATTGTTAATGGTAATTTCTAAAATGTGTCAACTCATGTTTGAATTGAGCAATGTGAAATGTTTTAAATAATCGAAAGTATAAAACTCCTTAATGAATTCATTTATGAATTTTAGTATTATGATATTAAATCGAGTTAAAATTTTCAATTCGGATCATATACATAATATGTATAATTAAAATACAAAGAAAATGATCATTATAGTTTTCAATAAAATTTCTTCAAAATCGAAATTATTAAAATTAATGTAATTGATAAAAAAATATAATATGTATGATAATATTATTTAAAAATTTTATTATTTTTACAGGTATAAGTGTGAAAGTAAAAGGTGTGGCAAATACATGTTGGACTACAGATAAACAAGATATGGATGAGCGAGGACAATATAGAGATGGGACTCAGACAGTCTCTGCCCATGAAGAATACTTCGAAACAAAATATTATCTTGTTGGATCGGCTTCCGGTGAGCTTCTAACTTAAATTATTTCATTAATTGTTTTTATTGAAAGAAGTTATAAATTTTTTTTTCAGGTGGTGAAATCGAGATACAAAGCGGGGAGCATAAATTTCCATTTCAATGTGTACTACCAACAAATTTACCTAGCAGTTTCGAATCTGATTTTGGACATGTTCGATATACTGTTAAAGCAACTTTAGATCGCCCTTGGAAGTTTGATCAAGAAGTAAAGAGTCCCTTTACAGTAGTGTCACCTCTTGATCTTAATCAAGAATCGAGAGCCTCGGTATGGTTTATAATCAAAATGTTAATGTAATAAAATTTAGTGAATAAAGTAAAAATAGTAAAATTTTTTAGGAAAAAATAGAAGAAGAAATGAGCAAGACGTTTTGTTGTTTATGTTGCGGAACGCCACCATTAACTGTTAATTATTCATTACCAGTTAGAGGATATGTGCCAGGCCAATCAATGCCAATAAAGGTGAACGTTGAAAATCATTCAGGAGTTACTGTAGAAACTATAAAACTTATTCTGTGTAAGGTATATTCGACTCGATAATATTATTAATAATATATGATATATGAAAATATTTTAAAATAATAATGAATCGTGAAATCTAGATGGTGACTTTTCGTGCTACGACACCGACTACTGATACTAAAACGGAAGAGATTGTGATAGCAGAAGTTGGCAAAGGACCTATTGAGGGAGGAGGAATTGCAGACTATGAACAGAAACTAGATATTCCTCCATTACCTCCGTCGAATTTGACAAATTGTGGAATTATTGATCTAGAGTATAATCTTAAAGTTGTGGCATGTGTCTCAGGATGGTTAGTATATATTATATATTTATTATCTGAATAAAAAAAATAAAAAAAGTTCATTTTCATGTAAATAATGATTAAAATATCATTCTTAGCAAGATTTTGTAAGTAAAATCAAATTTGAATCTATTTTTAAAATTATATTTTATGTAATATAAAGTATTACAAGTAAATTTTATAGTGAAAAATTGCCCATACAAAACTGATTCTAGTCG